CCGAGAGACAGGCAGGAAGGCTCAGGGGCTGTACTGCGGGGATGACCAGAGGATAAGCTGCTGAGGAAGAGGGTGGGCCGGTTCAAAGAGGCTGAATTTAAAATGTCTATCGGAAGAGGGAAGATTTCCCAGAGTCCAACAGCAGAAAAGGATGGAGACGGAGACCACGGTTCTGGCCCAACCCCACCCCGCCTTCCAGAGCTTGAGGTCTCTCCACTGAGGAGTTCTCCAAGCTGGCTGACCCCGAGGCCGAAAGGCCGCCATGCCCACGGCCCAAGCCACACGGTGGAGCCGGCGCCCGGACTGGCCCCTGCGGATGCGAGTTCCTCCTCCGATGGCTTCCGGGCTGCAGCCGTGGGTGACAAGACTGATTTTCGGACTTGAAAGCATGTGTTGCACAGACGGGTGAGACGGGCAGCCGAGGGGGGCCAGCCAGGCCCCAGTCTGCAGAGGCAGAGCTTCGTCCTTCAACCCTGAGGACAGACAGTTCACAGCGGCCCGGGCAGTGACCCGGAGCAAGGAACAGCGCTGACGAGGCTGCGGAGGGCGCCACCAGGGGGCAGCACTGCCGCTCCCACGCCCGGGTGCCGCCTCTCCGCCGGCCAGAGCCCGGGCCAAATCCAGGGTCCGCGCACCGATACAGTGCGCCGCTGCGCGGCTAGGAAAATAATGAAGCCGAGAAGGTAAAGGTCCCGTCAAAGAGGAGCTTACGGAACTCCAACAGGGAGCCGCAGAAGTAGGGCTACAGCCCAGTGTCGCTCCATTTGCACAGACAGCGGTCTGCGTGGCGCGCGGATGCCACAGTGTTTAAGAAATGAAAGCTTGTTTCGTTTTCCAAATTCAAAGCGCTTTTGTTATTATCTGTATGAGTCAGAAAAGGTAAATCTGTTTCGTGAGCTAAGAAGAAAACCACTTGTCTTCCGTGTCTCAGAGCCACTGTGGTTTGAGAATGAGATAGAGTGGGAGTGAAAATGTCCCCTAACTAGCAAGGCATTTGGTCACACATCTAGGGCATCTTTACCCGCGGTCCTGACCCTCCGGTCCTGTAACGCGTGGCACACTCTGTGCCAACCCAAGCAAGATAGAAGGCACAGGGTTGAGAAAAGACAGGATCCCGCACGGCGCCGCACATAGCCCGGTATGGCCACTAGGGGCGCCCCATCGAGGGTCTGCAATTTCCCCTCCCTGGGATGGGAGAAAAGCAGGGCCTGCACCTTCCCGAGGGTAAGACGGAGCTAGGGGAAACGCTTACCTTTATGTCCTCCACGCCCTGCAGCCTCAGTGTGGAGAGCAGGAGGAGAGAACAGAGCCAGGACAGGAACAGTGACCGGAACTGGGCCACACAGAATGCGATGACGGTGTGGAGGAGGACCATGAGCATGCCTGGGGCCCCCAGCACACTCCAGCAGGCCCACATGCCGTAGGCCGCGAGGATCCAGGGTCTGCACTGCAGTTGGGGAGTGGGGAGGGGAGAGATGCAAGAGGACAAGCGTGAGCGAAGGGCGCTGTTACTGAGCATTGTGCACACGGACGGTCTTCGATAAGCCACCAACCAGACTCTTGTTCTCATTTCCCGGGTTCAGACCGACTGCGCCTGCACCTGACTCCCGGAATCCAGCAGGCACACCCAGAAGCGGGTAACCCTTTCCTGCCTTCCGGCGGAGCTACCAGGACCGCCGGACCCCACAGCTTGGCAGCAGCGTTTTCGGCAGACACTAGGGAGCCAGGCGAAGGGCGGAAAGACTGAACCCGAAGGCCTCTCCCTGCAAACACATCTTCAGAGATGAGGGTGGAAAAGCCCCTGAGAGGAGACGGGCCATCCACACCAGCGAGGCCTTCCGGAAGCCTAGAACAGAGGTGTCAGTGAATTCCTGCCGTCAATCGGAGATCACAGACAGCTGATGGTAAGGTCTGTGTGTAGTCAATCCGACTGATACATTTATCCCTATTTTGTAAAGAGTCAGAGTTCTTCCTCTTTGTCAAGTACTTTCTACTTATTGCATTGAATGTCTAAATAGACCAGCTAATGTGTCTTGCTTTGGTGACATACTCTTAGTCATATCTGGCTGGTAAATCCTTGTTTTTAGACCATAATAATGTTTTAACATTGAGAGGCAATATATATTATCTTGGTTTAAAGATACAAGCTTTGAAGTCCAGTTGCCTAAATTCCAACACCAATGTTCCTACTAACTAGCTGTGTGGTCCCCGGCAAGTCACTTAAGCTCTCCGTGTCTCCATTTCTGCATCTGTAAAATTGGGGCAATGACAGTATCTGCCTCGCCAGGTTGTTAGCAGGGTCAAGTGAATTATGTGTGAAGTATTTAGACTATCGGCAGATACAGTATGGACTGTTCACACTCCTTTTGCTATTCCGGAGGAAACAGGCTGTCTCACGAGTGTGCATTGTGAAATGTGGTTTCCAGGAACACACAGAGCTGAAAACTGGGGACTGGCTGCACTGGGTTCTCCTCTTGGGGAAGGACAGAAGCCCGTGCTTCCATGTGAACTTTCCCCAATACCCCCAAGTACGACTCTTTCCCGAACCTACGCTCCAGCCCCGAAAACACTGTAAAAGTGAGACTCAGCCCTTCATTCCTAAGTCCCAAGCAAACCAGAGAAGCCTGAAGTTCATTTTTACTACTTTTCCACCCTCCTACCCACAGAAAACAGCACATAAATTTGCTGCAAACTCACTCACCTCTGGGCAGAGTCCAATTCTAAGAACCAAGGATGCCAGAGACCATTTTAAGAAACAGCTCTAACAAACAAGAGAAAGGTTCTTTCAACATGACCTACAGCGTTCACTGCTGGGACTCCTTTCCACGCACCCACAGCCACGACCATATGTGTGCACACAGTTACGCTTTTATTAAGTGCTATTTGATCCATTTGCAAAAAGCCTGCTTGCTGGGATTCATTTGGAACTCACCACAGACTGAAGCTGCTTCAACTTGGAAGAAGCTGAAAGGCCTTCAGGAAATACTTAGCAGCTCTGTGCCAACCCCGTCTACTTGGGAGATTCCATGACGGCTCCAGCAGCCGTCTCGGAAGCCACTTTGCGGGCAGACAAATATGTCCCACGGCACTCCCAGCGTCTTCCCTGCCAGACAGCATGGGCAGACAACACTGGATGCTGTTCTGAGACATCACAGAAAGTGCTCTCACATCACCTCATGATCTCTACTGACCTGAAGAGTGACCCACCTTTTCTCCCACTGAGTGCAGACAGGCAGCTCTGCAGTACATGTTCATGGGAACAGGAACGGAAAAGACCAGAATAACACAAAAAGAACCACAACAGCACAGCATTGTTGTGTAAATTAGAGTCCCACTAAAACACTGACTTTTAAGCTTTATCTGTAAAAATGCTATTGGAACCCCATCCCCAAACATCGTGACAATTCTGACACGGCGAGCCTTGTTCTCCAGTGGCCCTTGCAGGGCAGTCCCCCGCTGTGGATCCAAGCCCTGGGGTGCACAGGCCAAGCCGCCATCCCTGCCCACCCAGGCCTCGGGCTGCAGGCAGCAGCACAGACAGGGACCTACCGGCCGCACTGTGGCTCCACCTCGCTGCCCACAGCTGCCAGGTCGCTGGTCAGCCAGCGTGCTGCACAGCAGCAAGAGCTTGCCAAGCGCTTCAGCCATGGTCTCAGGTACAGAGCCCTACGCACAGCCGCTCACCCTCGCTACTCCAAAGGTGCATATCCATTTACAACACCTGTCTGCCGCTCAAGCCAGACTGCGTATCAGCATTAAGCCTTTGACATGAAATAGACCAGAAACTTTTAACTTTCAGATATAAAATCTGTTATGTTTTATTCCAAAATAATACTTTTAGGCATGTACAGTTTTTTTTCCCTGGTTTTTAGGGTGATCCAAGCAGATGTACAGGGTTTATCACCACATATTCTATGTCCAACTCACGTTTTTAAAGCCATTTAGTAATCAGAGTGGTCCAATTCACTTAAGAGATTTAAATGAAAGTTATGATAGGTAATTGATGATCACTGGAAAATAAGGCACAAAGAATCATATTAATCAAGTGAAGTGTACAAAAAAATGGCCTTAATTTAATGTTGGGTTATAATGGTTCCAATTTAGAAATTTAAACTTCAATTGGGTACAGCTTTTACACAGTGCTATTTTCAAGTTTGTTTTTATTGAGATAGTTAAAGATCTACACACAGTAGTAAGAAATAGTACAGAACAATCCCTTGCATACTTTACCCAGTTTCTTTCACTGGTAACTATTTTGGTTTGGATCTAAATGTCCCCCAAAGGCCAACTGATGGGCTTTTAGGGGCTTGTTTAGATTATGAGGACTCTACTTTCCCTGGTGGATTAATCCACTGATTGACACATAGTCTGATGGCATCAGTGATCAGGGAAGTGATGGGGACAGAGCTAAGGTCCCACTGAAGGGTGAGGGTGTGGTCTCGGGAATATATCTGTCCCCAGGCTCTTTTTCTCTGTGTGCTAGCTCCCACTCATCCTCCACCATGATGTCCTCTCGCAGCTCAGGCCCACGGCAATGGGGCCACTGACATGGACTGAAATCCCTGAAACCGTCAGCCAAAACAAACCCTGCTCACCCTACGTTGGTTTTCTCGGGTGCTTTGTCACAGTGCTGGAGAGCTAACGTAGTAACACTGTGAGAGATCACAGTATAATACCACCACTCCCAGGATACTGACACTGTTACTTTCCTCTGAACTTACTCAGCCCTCCCCAGTTTTACTTGCAGTGTGTGCGAGTGTAGCGCTATACAGCTTTATCGCATGCCCAGGTTTGTATCCACCATGTAAGGCTCAGACAGGTACTCTCCCTGAGCAGCCCTCGTGTTGCCCTTTTACCGCACACCCCTCCTTCCCGTTGCCCCTCCCCGACTTCAGCAGCCACAAGTCTCTTCTCCACTTCTAAACTTCTATCATTTCAAACTCTTACAGTGTGCAACGTTTAGGATTGGCTTTATTCCACTCAGCATAACTGATTCCCTGGAGTTTCTCCCAACTTTCTGTGGATATGGATGCTTTTCTCTTTTAACTGCTATGTTTCCGGTAGTGTGGAAGTACCACTGTTTGTTTAACCTCTTACCGGTCAAAGGGCACTGAGGCTGTTTCCACTTCGGAGCTATTATAAATAAAACTACCACAAGTATATGTGGACAGGTTTTTGTGTAAAAGACGAGCTTTAATTTCTCCAGGACTGGCACCCAGGAGGGCACGTGCAGGGTGGCATGACCGTCCCACAGTCCGGTGTCAAGAGGTTCCCGCATGGCTTGGCCCCTGTGAATCCCCGCCAGCAATGCCTCAGTGACCCAGCCACCTTCATCCTTGCCAGCATCGGGCGGTACCACTGTGTCCCACCTCAACCACTCGGGTCCGTACCCAGTGGTTCCAGCTCAACTTTACAATGCTCTTGTAATGGTTATCAAGGGCCGAGCCCTCACTGCCTGAGGTTAGGATGGGCTAAGACAACTTTGCTGAGCACTGGTTGACCTCATGTCTCTCTCTTCATTCCAGACTCTTCAGTTTTGAATTGAATTGAAAAGGAAAGCAGCAGAAGGGAAAATTTCAAAGGTACAAGGTACAATAAGACGGAAGCTATATTTTTGTAGCAGTGGAGATAAAGCCAGACCCAGAGCACCCTGGCTTTTCTGATGGGCAGAGCTCACATCCCAGATGGAGGAAGGTAAAACCTGTTCCCTCTGCTCTCCCTGCCTCCATACTGACACAGAGCCACTCCTGGAAATGGGTGTAACTGACTCTCTACTGGATGGTCTCCCTCCGCCCTTGTTCATGTCACCACAATGTAAGCACAAAACCCAGCACTGTACCCAGCATATACCAGGTGTTTCGGAAGGAAGGAAGAAGAAGAAAGGATGGAGGGGGTGTGGACAGATGGACATGGGTATCTGAATGACCACCTACACTGACAAGCTCACACAGTCTTGGGATTTAACCTGGTAATAAGAAGTAGGAAGAAATCAGCACGAAATTTGGGGCTTTTAGTTCAATAATGTGAAAAACTATCGTCGTCCAAGACTACTTGTTCTGCCTCACTCCTTATAAACAAAGGCTGCTGTGCAACTCAGATCAAACAGAAGGGCAACATCCATGCAATTGCTTGCTCTCCACCCTTCAAATGTGGGTCTCCTACAACTACCCATGTGTCCTTAACATCGGGCAGGGCACAGACATTACCATCTTACCATTGACAAACAGAGGTCTGTAAAACAGCCTGCAGCTCTCCGCCCCAGAGACACCCCCTGGGACACCACACAGCCGGAGTCCTACGCCCAAACCCTGAGGAAAGCTATGGACCTGGACCGGCCCATCTTCCTTCCGAAAGCTGTGCTCTCTACGCCCACTCCGGGGAGTCTGAACCTGGAAGGTCCCGTTCCAACCCCATCCCTCGGAGCTGCAGGCACTGGGTGACAGTGCG